GATTCTTATCACATTTCTAGGATATCGCAAGTTTATTCACTGTTGTTTAGTGGTTAGAAGTAGAAAAAAAGAAAATCAACTGCAGGATGAATTCGACTGGCAAGATAAGAAACTGAGTTCCACTCCCAACCACAGTGTACATCAAAATATAGTATTCATTAAATTTATAGGGATATTTTATGATATTTAAAAAAATCGCAATTACACATAAGTATGGATACACCAGTGCTTGACACAGATTTCGACAGTGAGATAGAAACTCTCTCTCTCTCTCTCTCACACACACGCACACACACAGAGACTAGAAATGAATGTTCATCTAGTTAGTTTCATGTTTCGTTTTTATCAGCAGTGAGAAATTGCGACCAATTCAATTTTATCATTGGTTTCTACTATTTTCTTTTTTTTTTGTAAAACTAGAAGAACATAAAAAAAGTGTTTTTATGACATCAAATTATTATATAATCTCTACAATTGATTAACGTTTTTCTCCTAGAAATGTCTAGACAAATAAATAATTAAATAGATCTAAATTTCTTTTTTTTTTCTGCTTCTAAATAAAAAGAAAACCAATTGACTAAAACATCACTTCCACCTTAGTGTTCAGACCCATTGATATATATATATATGTGTATATATTGAAAAAAAAAAGATTTTTTTTCTTGCTAATGAACAAAGAATAATCAATTGATGTAGACAGAGTTAAATCTCTGGTTTCAGACGATTTTTTTTTGTTGTTATTATTATGCTTATCGGTTTGTAAACTTTATTAAAAATTTTGTTCGCTTGTAACTTTATTTTATTTCATTTTATTTTGATATTGATAAAAAAAGAGATAGATTGCCGTTTTTAAGAAAATAATTCATAAAGAAGGAACTAACTTGACGTATTGAAGTTTTAGTTCGGGGGAGGGGGGTGCAGTGGTGGTGGTTTGTCTTATTTTTAGATTGTATCCATCAAGAATTGATAAAAGTTGCGTCAACCATTAAAAATTGTAGAGTGTGCTAGACAATGAGTTCATCTTAGTATGTGGAGCTGCCCAGCAGTGGGCATTCAAGACCTTACTCAGGATTGCGCAACGCACTATTCGGTTGTAGTGGGATGAGTTGCAGTTGACTATGATTACCACTACAGGCCAATTACGTACCAATTACCAGGTAAAATTCCTCCGTAAAACCAAAAAAGGAAGAAGGTTGGATATAGTAATTAGTTTATCTTTGTTGGTGATCTCATGGTATCGAAATAATACCGAGATCGTGTTAAAGTATACAGGCAAGACTACCATGCGTACAATGAGCGGAATCAAGGTCATAAAACAATCGAAAGTGGGGTTTTTTTAATAGGGTTAAACAAAAAGGTACAGTAAAACGATCACTGGTACAATTGGTTATAATAATGTTTCTATCTAATCACTCGCGTTCAGTTAATTAAACTGGGTCACTACAAGGTCTTGCTACTCATATTTAGTGGTTGAGACTACTGAGTTGACATCTAATAGTGGTATTTGAATTCTCACAAGTTTACAATTCAGACTGACGATCATCCATTAGTGTTGATAACAGTTGCTTCACTTTCCATTTACCTATACACCACCAGCTATCATTAGATCTTTAAAAATATTCTGAAGGAGTTCACCAGTAAGTTGATTACAAGGACCGATATTTTGGTTTATTGTTTCTTGGTTTCCAATGCCATGCCAAATGAAATCACTGAATGAAGAATACAACCTGCATATTAGAGTTTGTTAGACTAATGATAAACTGGTATCATAATAATACGATGTAAAAAGCATAAATATTTTCGACTGATGTACATTTAACTGCATTATCTTCATGCTTGATGGTAGTGTTAAATCTCACTGGTGAAATGCATAAAACTACTGAGTCTCCTATAAAATCCCAATATTAAAACAAAGGATTTGCACATAAAACTTGGTGTCGCTATTGACTAATAGCTTAATCGATGCTGTCTGTCAACTTCAATCCATGTGGTGCCCAATGTGTACGTCCAAAAAAGAAGCTGTTCAAACAGGTCAAGAGGTACAGGCACCATCATATAAGGAAAGTTAACTTTATTTCTAGTGAAGCAATCATAATTTTATATCAGGTGTATTGGAATACAGTTTATTCTAACTTGCTATATAGGATAGCAAATTCTAGATTGACCAATACTGAAAACTAATTTATCATAAAACTCAATTTTATGAATTATCGATAGCAGACCTGCACTTGTTGACTGACTTGTTAAGATGTACTATAAAATTTCTAGTTGGAGGCTCTACATGTTACGGCTTAGAATAAACCAATGTAATAGCGATTCTAATTCAGATTTTACCCTTCGTCAAATCTTGAATAACTGATTTAACTTTCAATATCTCATCTGTTAACTTTTCTCCATAGGCTCCACATAATACTTTATTTTCTCTTTCTGCATATTGATGATGTTGTGTTCTCTGTAAGTTAGATGGTTCAATTTTACTGATTCTATGATTCGTTTTTGAGCACAATATTATCACAGTCTATTTCTATCCAGCGTTTGTTTAGCAAGGAATATTGACCAAATAATCGACTTATTCAGTAGATTGTCTTTTTCCAACTCTCTATGTGTTTAAAAGAATAGAATGTGACGCTAGTGGTAATGTAGTGAAGGAGGACACAGGTGAGGGCAACCGAATTGTATTGATCGCAAATTACAGAGTTACTTAGTAAAATAGGAAAACCATATCGTAAACGGTTAATTTGCAAATCTTCAATCCATCATCAATCCATTGTCTGACATTTCACTATTCATGCGTTTCATACAAATTCCATTGTGTTCCCGTTCTTCCTTTCTTGATCTTCCCCCATCTTCTGTTGCCAGATATTACGTTTTCACTCGCGGCATATACTACTTCAAACTAGCGCGCACCACAGTATGACAGTAGCCAATCAACTTCAAGGCTGATTGTGTGTGTGTGTGTGTGTAATTTTCAATAGTACCCTTCAATCTGAAGTTTATGCTGATAATATGTTCTAGAAATAAAGTGAAAGCTTTGAGAAGAAACTAGTCAACTTGGATAATGCAACTCGACTAAAATAATCCAATGTAAAGACAGAATTTAGTAAAACAGCCTGGAATTTATAATCTCAATGCATTCCTAGCAACGATTCGACCACAAATTCTTATGTTAAAATATGTATCTATGAAAAACTAAACAGATGAAATCGTAAGAACCACATATATAGTAAAAACAAAAATTTAGTAGTCCTTTGTATATTTCTATGGATTAGAATTGGGGTGCATTATTTTTAAACAATGAAGTTGTGACTTGATAATTAAGATGCTTGACTTCAGTTATTAGTTTCAAAGTTCTAAGTTCATTCTAACAATCGGATACTATTTTCAGCCTTTACATAAACCTGTAGCTTATAATTAATTAGATGAACTTAGTAACTGACCTGAATCAACTAGAAAACTTAAGTTGACTCCAAATTTATAACGAAATACGTCACCTCTAAGCTCTTATTTCACTAGGATAGATTGACAGATTTCAAATGTACACTAATTATAAGTGAACAACACTAAGGTAGAATAATGTAAAAGGGAGCCAAGAGAACTGAGTAAAATTTACTTGTTAATTTTACGAGGTTATATTGAAATATCCTTTTAGCATCAGTTATATTCTAGCCAGGATGACAATTATCCGCAAAACCTAGAATAATAATTAAAAACTATAAATTGCTATTGACTGGTGTAGTAGTAAATATAAGTATAATAAATATGATAACATATGGTTGAGTTTATTGACAGCATTTCTTTGATAAACTGAAGATCTAAACAAATTCAAGTGGAAGTGTATGTGCATTCTTGCGGGGACAGATTTCTGTGCCAGAATATATATTTTAAGTGGCGAATCGGTTTACAAACTATGAACAACAGTTAGGATTTGCTACTGTGTTTAAGGTAGCAGATGGTAGCCACATTGTGTGACAAATATGTTCCATGGACACTCAAAATACCCAGGTCGAATTATGCATTCCCTCGTATCAATGATACTTCAGGGGAGTGAGGTGATCTCCACTCCTGTTGATGATATTTGTTCTTGAGATTTGATAGGGAAGATAGAAATCATTCTTCGTAATGAACATAAGTTACTCGTACTTTTCATAGAAGTATAAATGTCGCGTAGCATTTTAACCCCGATAGCACTTACAAGTTACATGCATACATGAAATACTAGACCGGCGACCCATATATTTCCACCATATATATTGGCATAAACATAGTTCCTTTTGGCAGTTTTCTTTTTAATCAAACACAGGTAAACACACATATGAGCGATACAATCAAACAGAATCCATTGAGTCTCAAAATGCCTATATAAGGAAATACTTCCCACCAAGTATTTGAACATCACAAGGTAAACTTGGTCGATTTACTTTCACGATACAGAGTTGATCAATCCGATCTCAGTGAGCCAACCAAAGCCTCATGATCTGGAGTACTATAAGAACGTTTAGGTTAAATTGTGTTACAGATTATTCAATCCAACATTTGTTACATTGTGAAAAATATCATTTTACAGATTAAAAAAACTTCATAAAACTAAAACTAAATATCTCGATGGACATAGACATGTTTAAAATCTAAAGTACTTAGTATTTTCAATGTAGTGAATGGAATTTTAAAAGTGATAAACGGCGCGTATGATTTTATCCCCCTATTTCAATAAACTTGTTATATAAATCATGAAATAGACATGGATATGGTAAGAAAATAAACAAAATAAGGGTTGTTGGTGAAAATTTCTATCCATCTTGACGGAAAATACTTATTAATTATTCCAAAACTAAAATGGAAATTTCCTGAAACATCATTTAGGTACGAATGAACCTGATATATTTCATTGATAACTTTATGCTACTTATAAGTAGTGTGACTAATAAAGTATATAATGAATTCGTCTTGTGGCAAATAATTCCTTTTTGCGTTAAAAATGTTTTCTATTTTAATTTCTTTAGGCGGAAGCGCAGAAGATTCCACTATGTCTGTATCAAGGCAAACCTCACACAAGAAATACTACATACTATGATTATTCACAGCAATACTCAAGTCAAAACAATCAGAGTGAAATCGAAAATTGTCAAACCAATCTGAATACAATGTATCCTTATGCAGTTTCAAGGCGACCAAGTGTACGTGATATGTTAAGTCAAAGAAAAAATAGTCCTGGAAACCTTGAACGTAAACAGCAACAAAGCCATTTACTCTACATATCAAATGATCATAACAACTGCCATCAATCGAATTCATGTATAAATTGTTCAGATTATTTATTTTCTGAAAATAATTTAAATATGGGTGTTGTCCCACCGCCAAATTTAAATCCATTTGCATCATAAGGCTTATTATCGATGACATTATTGGTTGTTCTGTATCGTTTCCTTTTTTAGATGAAATCCTTATTCTTCTTAATTGCTCAGTCGAGAATAATAATTTTATTATTATTATCCAATAAAAGCAGTTTCCAGTGATATTTGCTACTCTACACTACGACCATTCAGAATTGTTTAAGTAGTGGCTTATGTGCAGGAACAGTATGAATGAGTCATATTCATCAATAGATTTGATCATAACAACATTGCGAATTGATGCAATATTTCCTATACTAATAGTATTTCTTTTGGTGCAATTGATTGTGCTGATAAAAACTGTGAGAAGAAAATCGAAGTGTTGTCTGTATGTAAAATGTCCAGTGAAAATTATGCAGATGAGTGCTGGATGTGCATCCGTTCTGATTGATTGTATGTTTTAGACGAATGCAAAACATTGAACGTAAACTGAAGGAAGAATAAAACAATCCAAATCAAGGTGACTATTGTTGTCATTCTTTTTAAACTATTATTTATATCAACAGTTATTTTATTAACAGCGCTCTAACAAATCTTACTGACTAACACAGTTTATTACTTGAAAAAGAACCTGAATCAAATATCGTTCCATAAAACACATACATTCACATAGACATATTAGAAGATGTTCACACATACATCTATAAACACATAACTATTTTTTATTTTTAAGATGAATACTGATAATTTATTCTGTTAACTTTATTAAAAAAATAGATGCGGTTATCAGAGATTATATTTCAGTGTCATTTATTTACCTTCCTTACAGTTGGCAGATAAAACAGTTGAGTACAAATACAATATGTAGAAGGTTACAGTGATATAGTTGTTAAAATACGATTGTGTTCCTCTGTTAGTTAGTAAGGTTTGCATCAAGTCTACAGATGAATTATTTTTAATTTGGTTGAAGGATACTCTTAATGAGCAGGTTTATACTGTTCATATTAGGTGATTTGATATATTTTGGGGGAAACTTTCAAGCTAGCTTTCGTACTGGTTGGTGCATGTTAGAAAGGCTTATACGTATAATTTTGAGAAAACAAATTCTCCCATCAGGATTCAAATTCACATAACTTAGTGTTAAAGTTCTAGCTGGATAAATTCTATGATTTCTTAGTGGTGATGCATTTTAATCTCGTACATTATGTGTAAGAGCTAGGTGAGTTTTTGAGTCAGAAAACTGTATGACAAATCGATTATCTTTTTCTTATTCTGATCGACATCTGAAAGCCATGAAATGTCAACTAAATGGTCATTATACTCTCTGTCAATACGTAATTCTCCTAGTGTTTACTCTTACCTGATAATCCAGATGCACGCGGTTAAAATGTTCCTGACTAGGACAAAAGGAGCCAGTTCACTACTCAGATATTGTCATCCTGTAATGTACGTTAACTATTTTTATGAACAATTGTGGCTAAAGATTGTTTATGATTTGTGTTTGAAACTATTGAGGTATTATTCAATAAAATTTGTACAACTGCACATATTGAAATTGCGTAGGTAGTTCATGTAGGTTCTGTTATATGTAGGAGACAGGATAGCATCCTATTGAGAAACGACGAAAGTATGCGACTGAGCGATTGAAACGATTTGGTTTTATCTACTATGTGATCACTGTTCAGCAAAGTTGACCAATAAGCAGTCACGTGTTCTGTTTGCTTTTCCTAACCAAGTTCATTCGTTCGTTGGTTAAGCTACTTGACAGTTTGTCTCCGTAGGAGCAGTCAAATTAGACAGCTTGCCTTTTGTCTGAGTAGACATCGCTAGTCTACGGAACAGTGAGACTAGCAGCGTAACACGCTGTATTAGCTGCGTTCACTAATTTGTCATACAGGACATCGTTAGCATAATTCACACAAATATTCATGCATATTGGAGTAAAACTTGATGACGATCTAATGAAGACAATTTTTGTGCACATATGTATCATTCTAATCTACAATATGGAAATTGTAAACATTTTAATATGGCTGTATGATAATTACAGATAATTTGAAGTCGATTTTCACAAAGAACTGAAATCAGCTAAAGAACATTCGAAAAAAACTATGAAGTACTCTTTAGAAATCAATTAAAAATTATTCAATAGTGTAGACCCATAAGTTTATTGAAGATAGAATCTTCTCATCTTGGAGGAGGTGCATGACACCATTTAACCTGAACAGTCATATTCTTGACTTCAGTCAGTCTGTTACTGATACATCCGGTACATGAAAGTATGACACTGGCTTCTAAGCTTTTTTTGGTTAACCAAAAATCTATACTTAAACCCTGAATAGTAGACAGGTGTGAAGCTTGAAAAGTAACATCCCTTTCAAGGTCAGTTAAGTAACAGAAAACAATGATGGTTTTAAGTAAATTAGAATTACTCTGTCTGGTTTATAGCTCAATCGAGTTGATCTTCAACTGCTCAGTATCCAGCAGCTGTTGGTAAAATCGTGACAAGGCCAAAGGTCCTGCGTTCGAATCGTGCGAGGTGCAGAAGTTGTGGATTTGCACTGCTGATGAGTCTTGTACCGTGACGAAACGGTCGTCCAGTGCTTCCAGATTTCTTATGGTGATCCAATACTGATCGATTCAACAATCTTCACAACCCCATAATGCATATACTTATTAGTCTTTTGATTCGTTTATCGAATCAGGAATAAATCGAGTAATGTTACAGTAGATTTGTCTTCTCTCTCTTGATAGCCTATCTAGTAATAGAATGGTTTCCTACCCTCTGCCAAAGGCCATTTAGTCAACTCCGGCAATCCTTGCAAGACGATGATTGAACACAAAGTCACTTAACATCCGTAATTCGGAGAAGCCAGGTTCCAAACGCACAGATCGAAACTGCTCTCAATGACGCAGGGTAGATCAGAGTTTTTATAACCAGACTAGAATCATGAAGACAAAAAAGATTGGCATAAGCTGCTCTGGCTTTCACTATACGTTAATCAATCTCATCATTCAAGCCATCACAGGCACATGAACATTTTGACTAATTTTATCTGCTCACTACGAAGAGTGAGTGCAAGTTCAGGGTCCTGCCAATCTTGTAAAAGTACTTTGCAATTGGAAGATGAAAATCAGATGCCATATCTATGAACATGGCTTTCCGTCTGATCAGATGTGAAGTGTATGGCTTGACAATTATAGCACAGTAAGATCATATCATCCACATACTCAAGGTCAAAGAGTCATTCTTTAGGTAACAGACCCACGTTGATATTACCTACATCCATCAGGGCTGTTTCGAGAACGTTATCGATGGCAAAACCGAGGAGCAGTGGTAAGATTGAGCAACCTAACACAATCCTACTGCATGAATGAAACAATGCAAAGAGTTGTTTATACGTCCCAACTCTCCTTGAGGTGTTTGTATATAGGCCTTCAGGATGTTCATAAACTTCTGAGGCGCGCTTTACTTCAGAAGATAATCACAGAGAACATTCCAGTCGGCGAATCGAAGACGTCCTTGATATCAAGAAACAAAACGATTTTTTGCCTGCGACAAGTATGGTGGTGTTCTTACGTTTGGCGGAGGGCAAAGATACGATAACGTATCCTCAACTAGAATGGAGACCATCCTGCTCCTTGAGAGTCAATAATTCACGAATTTGGAACAATCTACGAATTGTGACGGAAGCCAATAACTTGGACACGATCGATTGTTGACATAGATGAATCGAACCCTTTCCAAAGATAGGGACTGTTCATCAAATATCCTAAGAGGACTATGTTTGAAAGTCTAATTCTATCGGTCGATATTTACTGGTCAAAATTAGGTCGTCCTAACTGTCAATATCACATACTTCAATGTTGTTTCCCATTGGTCATCCTAACTATCAATGTTGCTTCCTATTCGACCTAACTGTATAAATATGCATTATCTGTAAAGCTTATTATTCCTTCTGTAACCGACACCATAAACTAATTCATCTAACGGTGTTGTGTTCTGATATATTGGAGATTTGGGAACAGTATTTGGGGTAGAACAGGAATATCTGAATTTGGTGAATCAGTAGGATTTCGAATAACTACGTAGCAGCATTATAACAGGGGAAACTATCAACCACCAAACCTTTCAGTCAGTTTCATGGTCAGGTCATTACCATTTTAAAAAAGAGCCGGAAAAAATCCACTTGTGTCTGGTGATTTGCGGCGTTTCGAGAGTTAGAGTTCCTTGCGACCTATCACCTCATTAAATGGGTCGGTCTTGACCGGACATGAGAGCACGGGAAAATCTGATCGATTTCCCTTAGTCAGTGACCAGCTGGAATGTTCCTGGAAAAACTCTGCCCATCGTCCAAGATACCAGCGGATGTTATTGACAGTCGCTCGATCAGCCGCCTCACAGATTGTCTTGCTCATGCCGGACAGTGAGCTGCTAGTGGCACGGATGAGTTGGGTGGGCTTCCGGCGGCCACCAGATGCAGCACCTACTTCCAACTCATTAGCACGCTTCAACCACCAGGTTTCTCGAACCTCACACAAACCTTGAACTCTTTGATTACGTAATAGCGTTCTTTCGTCAATGTGCGGTTACCTGGAGTAGACTGTGACTTAACCAGTTTTAAAGAACATGTAGAAGCTCAGTGTTTATAAGCGGAACGTTTCGGGAAGCTGTAAGTGACTTTATAAACCAATTTCACGGCATCGTGCAACTGGGGCTGCTTTGTACTTTTTAGTGAATGAGTAGCTAGCGTTGAACCTAAACCGGTTTTTATATTTAGTTGCAACAGAAGCTACAAACAATTTACTGACATCAGTACGTTTAGGACGATGAATTAGTAGGCCGCTGAAACGTTAGATAAGACTAGCACATGATTAGGACACTCCTAAAAGTGAGTGTTGTACACATCGAACCAGAGGTAGCTGAATGAGATGAGATCAATCTGAGTCCAGGCTTGAGATGCAGGAAGATGGTAGGTAAGTCAGAAGCGATAACTGTTCCGGTGGTTAGTGCTAGTCAGAAAGAGATCGTATTCCGTGCAAAGTCAAAGTAAGCAATCAGCGTCATTCGACAACTCTATTCTGTGTCTAGACGTCCGACCTGTGCATTCAAGTCCCTGCTTAGTATTGCAATATATGTCAAACACACTCTCTGGAGAAGATCACTTAAATCATTCTTGATTGCATCCAAGCTGCAATCTGTTGTGGCATAGGCGGAGATAACGAGAATGCCACTATAAAAAATTAATAGCTCTTAACTGATGCCTTACATTGTTGTAACCCATTAGATAAATGCATTCCTGAAACAGTCTTTTAATTATATCAATTTAAACGAAATAAAATTCTATAAATGTCCTTTATGTGTAACAGTGCTATTGTATCGACTTAGCCATGCCTCTAAATCATCATGAGTTCTGTAATTACTTGATGACTCTTGATTGACCCATGTTGTCATATTTCTGTCACGAAAAAATGAACCGACTTCTTGGGCTTAAATGAAGGCATCGGGGAAAGCGATATTTTCCTGTTGATCTTATAATATCTGGCTGTTACTTCGTTTGCGCTGATTTAATTTCTCCTGACTAACTGTATCAACAAGCTAGTCTAATGGTAGGTTGAAGCTATAAGATTCCTCAGACTAATTTAACCCTTACAACTGTAAGCGATTCATGTGTCGTGCCAGATATTTTCCTTGAACAGCCAGTTCATAAAGTATGGTTAAAAACCAACTCTTTAATCACTAAGAGGATTTTGAACTTGCAAGCAAATCCCAAAAACCACTACTACTCAAACTGCTTTCTTGTTCACTTTCAGCATATTGAAAAAGTAAACGTCGAACAAGAAAATAATTTCTCCTTTATTGCTACTACAAAAACATCAAGTTGAATTTCCTAGAAAGACGAATAGTGAGAATAAAAAAAAAAGCAGAAGATAAGAACAGTAACAAAAATTAAATTACCAAGTGAATGAATATTAAAAAAATGGTAACAGTCATGATAAGATTGAAAGAATAATATCACTCGACACACGCATATACATGTATATGCGTATAATTCTTTGTACATAATCTAAAATAGAGGAATATCATCAACATGACAAACCAAAATCAGTAGCAAGAAGAACAACAACATTGGACTGTTCACACTTGTGAAAATAATAAGAGCCAATTCATACAAATACAAAAGAAAAAAAATATAAATGAGACAAGGCAATCAATCAATTAGAGACAGGAGGACATAGGCATGATTAGTTGTTCACGCGGAGTGGAACAAACCAAGTCAGTGTTTAAAATTGAAGCAAAAGCGAGCAACAACAACAACAGCAAAAAAATGTATCTTTTTGTGGAATTTTCAAAAAAGAGGAAAACGCAAAAGACAAGCCCGAGATCAACTAAACAATAAATAAGAACCCATGAAAATGAGGATAAAAACTTTGACAAGGGATATGAGAAATACAGTTGAAATATGTGTTCATTCATTCATTCAAGTAACAAACATACTGTAATGCATAATCACGAAAAGACATTTTATTTATTTATCAGCAAAGATCTCTTCAAGACATATATATATATATATATATATATATATATATATATATATATATATGTGATTCATACAAGTCTTTCCACTGTTACCACTTGATAAGCGGATTAAGATATGTTGGAAGTAAGAGTGTTAGTTATCACAAAAGTATGGGTGTATCTACATATACACACAAAGTAGACACCCACAATGTGTGAGTGTTGTGCCTTGGCATAAAACAGCTTTTTTGTTTGTTTGTTTTTTTATATAGGAAGAGAGCATTATTATTTTTAACAAGGCAGAAACAAAAAACAACAACAACAACAACTAATCATACCATATTGCCATCCATTTTTACACGTCTTGGCAATTTCATATAAGATAGAAAATATGTAGCCCAGAAATAGACATCTTGACGTATGCGCACAAGTTTACGCAATTCAGACATGAAAAACACCGATGACGTTAAACAGACTAATAAAACTAAATCTGTAAAAATAAAAAAACAGGAAGAAAAGAACATTTACAGACTGCAGACAATTAAAAACAACAAGTTAAAATCAACTAAATGTCGCCTTACTTTTACTTATAGTTGACATTAAAATTAGGTGTTTTGACGGGGTGGATGATAGTGCGTCATGGTTTATTTTAGTGACCGAAAACTAATACGTTTCTGGGAATAAAGGTGAATAGTTTACATTCGACTGGATTTCAATTCTGACCTTCACTGTATTTCGCATGTTCATACATGTGTTAATAACTATTGTCTGACGCACAACTTGATCTTGAATGTAGGTAAGATATTGAGTGTATCATTTGGCCTGTAGTCTAGTGTAATAAGTCTCTTTTAATCTATTATCAAGTAGGTAAACGTGTAGTTCTGATATTTACAAAGATATATCGATTTTCTATTGCTTAAAACTATGTGTATAGTAAACTGGTTAACTGATACTACACGACCACCTAGATCATTAAAAGTAAATGAGATATTTTATATGATAAATCTACAAGTAATCGATTAACAGTAAATAACATCACGTTTGCGTAGTCTTTTTAGTACTGATCGACATGAAATTTGGGTCATACAGGTCAATTAGAGCTGAAATAACTCAGTGGTAAGGTCTTGGACAACGACATTGAGTTGTGAGTTTCCGACTGTCACATGAAGGATCAGTTCTCTCAAATTAAACATATGCATCGTTGATTAGTGTCAACTAGGAAGAAAACAAAGTTCAAGATTATGTTTGCCGATCTTAGTTAAACTAAAGAAAGTAGTCGTGAAAATATAAATCCTTTTGTTAATTTAGTTAGTTGCCAAACTAGTAAATGTATTCACATTAAGTGTATGGAAAGAAAACAACCGTTTACCTTTTAATGTCAATGCTTCAGTTTGAAAGACAGCTTGTAATGGTGGGAAATAAATGACCAATAACTGACCGAATAATGATAAGCCAACAGCTAGTACAAATAAACGATTAGAGAAGAATCCCAGTGAGAAGATTGATTTATTCTAGAAAAAAAGGGTGACAGACAATTATGAGGAAAGATATATACATATATTCATGTCCGGTTTTATTAACGAATCGTAAATATGAAATCCAATAAATATTCGAACCGTGACCTTAAGAACTCCATTTCTCATCATCTACGGTTAGTCAGCTTTACTATCCCAAAAATCATTTTCATTTCTAGTAATACCTTTCTATTATTAAAACAATCTGAAGAGTCGTCAGACTTCTCCATTTCAATTTTTGTACACATTAGATAACCAATCTGCACCTTAAGAAGAGAAAACTGTCAGGTTTGGTGTGTATGATGCAGTCTCACAAGTCAGAGAGACAAGTGAAAAATCACTTACGAATGTGCAGAGGTGTTATCATAGAATAATTGAGCATCTGTGCACTTATAAGGAAAATAAAACCTTTCAGCATTTAATAGCTATTGAATAAAGCCAAACGATTAAGGTTAGGCTAACTAAGGAAAGTAGGAATTCAAGCACAATACAGTCGATCATTTATTTATCTGTCTATAACGAACAACTATCATAATTCGGTTCAACTAAATATTAGATAAACTACAAATACGAAATTCCGTTTCTTGCAGACAGTACTACTAACTCCTTTGTTAACACAAATTCTGCTGATTCATGAACACGACAAAACAATTATTACTATGATCGTAAAACACATAAACATATTATGAAATATGCACAGCGTACCTGTGATCGAAAACTCAACGCATTGAACATGTCAAATAAAACGAAACATGTAAAAGTCATTGTTGTATCACGAGGTGTAACTTTATTATCGGATAATTCTCTAAAGAAAATCCATAAAGTGCCAGAGACAATCAGTGATGAAGCTGTCAATACATTGAACATTAAACGCCCATCTAAAATAGAATCATTCGCTCTTCGAGGAGGTTGTCTAACTACCTACAATACCCAAAAAATTAAACACGATAAAAAAGATGCAATGATGAAAAAGTATTCCGAATCATAATACGGAACTGTTTAACTACAATTAATTATTGTTCAAATGAAATTCAAGGGAACTAGTCGACAAATTTTAGAGCATTTTTTAAAACTAATCATCAAATACAAATATGTGAACGTGACTTTAAAATATATTAATCTATGTAGGGGCATGAAATAACAGCTCCAATGACATAATTTGGAGTCCAACTTTACCACAATTTCTAATTAAGGGTTAAAGTGGACTAATAGTAAGTTAGATGATAACATTCTTTTGTTCGGTTACACGATCGTCAACATTCCTGAGACCATCACTTTTTTGCACCATCTAAGAGTTGATTCAATGAGGTACCTCATAGATAAGACCAAAGCACTGTAGAAGCCTATCATAACCAAGAATGATTGTTACTCACCAACATTTTATGGTACCACCATTCGTCTGATTTGATTAAAATTATCAGGATCGGCTCAATGATCCCCTATGCCATCACAAAACCCAGGTACTTAATCATTTGCGTTCATTTACACGTAAATAAAAGCCATGTTGTTGAAATTTTGACAAGACAATATGACGTCTACAGAACAGTACTTTTTAAGTAGCCCTCGCAACAAACAAACTGTTATAGCATTTTCTAGATCAGCCAATTCGATTTTTAATAAATCTTCATATCAGTCGTATTAGCTGTCAAATGTATTTCCGTCTTCGAGATCGAAAATACAATCCGTAACTGGTTTCATTAGTATATCAACTTTATTAGAAGAATCACACAGAGGAGACCAATGAAACGTAAGATTTATTTTATTTACAAGCTCCATGTATATGCCAGTAGCTTATGATGCTATGCTGATTTCGTCAACTGGTGTGGACCATTTCCTAGTTATTTCTCGTCGCCAGTGTTGTCTTGAGATTACATGAGAATTCACTAATCTTAATTCCATTTATTTTGTGTTTGCTATTTCCTTAACAGGCCAATATCCCTGAATCGACTATCTGTATGCTGGATCAACACTTTTGATTTAAGCCGATTCAGCCGTTGGTCGCAAATATTTCCCTATGCCCTGTTGAATCCAGAAGTAGCAACAGTCCTCTACTATATCTATCTTTTAAAACAGGCGTGGTTTGAATACATACATACTGGACCGTATCACACAGAAAATGAATAATAAAGACTATACATAAGTGGCTGTGGATAGGGGAAAATGCAAACAATAGTCTAGGAACAAATTAGAAATAGTAAATCATGTAACAGTAGTTAGTGGGTCAAACGAAAGCTTATAATAAAAGGTATACATAAACATAGTCATCTAGTTATGTAATAATTATATAATAAGAATATATGTATTAATAATAACAATAATAATCATTCATAAATTAGTTCTAAGAGTTTTCATTTCTTCAAGCTGCCTTCTGATATACCAGTAAATTGAATTTTACACTTCATGAGCAAAACAATGTTTGATTGACCTGAACTGGTGGTGAACTATGTATACTTTTATACGACTAAAATTGTCTAAAGATCCATTTCCAAACTAGAGATGATGTGCCCTGACACCAGTAAACTAACACATGAGTTTTATCTACAGAAGATCAGTCGCGGACCGAATGGCTCAGTTATAACATTTCAATTTGTAAAGCTGCGTGAATCCCACAGAAAGTATCAATTCCTTCAAAATTGCAGGTAACGACGAATGGAAACTAGCATGAAGTCTAGGTTCAGGGTCGCTTGTTGACTGCCTCCAACCACCTAAGATCAGTTTTATCAATCTATCTGTATAAAAAAAGAGAAGATTAAGGTGTGCATGTTATAGATTTTTTTAATTTTACAGAAAGCACAAACTAACATGAGGATCTGGTGGTTCAACGCCTAAACTTTGAGCAGGTGGACCATCCATTAGTATATTAATAAAAAGAATTTGCATAGCATTCAATGGACTTGGTAGTGAAAGTAATGTGGATAAAGCAATTAAGGCTAGAGCAGCTATAGATCTGTAAAAAGAAGGAAAGATTATGAGGTCAAATGACAAAAAATATCAATGACATCAAACAAAAATTATTTTGTCGTCTTCAGTGGCAATGATAATGATAATGAAAGGGTTAAATCATGATTAACAGAGATTTACGTTTTCACTAACCTCCTCAATACTGACTAGATGATCGAGTAGTTTTTAAACGTTGTAAAGATAAGCATAATACATATCGCATCGTAAACATAATAAAATCATATACCTTAACCTTAATAAATGTTGGGGACGTTAGATCCCCAGAACTCACTTGGAAAGAAATTTTGAATCTCCATGTTTTCGCGCCAGAGACGCCTAGCTCAGATTTCCACCCTCAGAAAATCCTTGACTGACACTGACAGATTTATTCTTTTAGTACGCTATTTTGTGGATCTCCCAAGGGCGTTTCAATCATTGTATAAATAAGCTTAATTGTGTGCTTAGCTACGACGTATTTACTGGGTGCCTTATCAAAACTTTTAGATCTAGTTAGCAGGTCCTGGGACAAACGGATTAGAATAGCCTAATGTGTCACTGTATCGTAGACCTTCGTTCCGTTTATCGAGTAAGGAGAACTCGTACTAGTTTCAGGCATAACAATAAACGATTATCAGAAGAACAAATTCTTCTTTTCCCACAAATTAATCATACTTAGAGCACACTTGTACTTTACTCAACAGACATCACTTGATATAATGGTGATACTGATAATAGTGCAGATGTTCGTTATGACAGTGAAACAACTGCTAATTGTTACTTATTACAACAGAACATAACTGCAATAGAAGAATGTTGTAGGTGAAGATTTATATGTTCACCAATTGTTGAACTTACAATAATTAAAATGAATTAAAAAATTGTTCAATGTATGTATAGAATGTTTAAAATCAATGAACTAACTGTATATAGTTGAGTGACATATACGTGATGAGTATGTTGAACAAATTTAACCGTAATGTGAACTCTTAATAAGACTGTGAATAATATTTAATTTTTTCTATAATTCAGGGTTTGTCTATCAAATTAAGTAGTAATCTGTACTTAGAAAACAGGTCAAAGAATGTCAGCTTGTGAAATGCAAACAAATTATCGAACACACAAAAATATTCAATCATTTAGTAAAACACGTAAAACAACCAAGAGAAATAAGTTATTTATTCAGTTACCAACCAACTTACGTGCTCAATTGAAATCCGATGAAATTTCTAATATTATGAAATAATGCTTTGCCTTCTTCCATTGCAGCTAAAATTGTGGTAAAATTATCATCTAATAAAACAATATCAGCAGCTTCACGACATACATCAGTCCCTGTACGACCCATTGCAATACCGATATCGGATGATTTTAATGCGATCGCATCATTCACACCGTCACCAGTCATTGCAACAACTAAATTGGATTGTTGCAGGGCCTTATAGGTGAGAATAAATGAAAAAAAAATAGATAAGACGATACTATACAGTTGTTTTTAGGTTGAAAACAAGAATAAACATTTGAAGAGAAACGTAGATTTGAATTTTATTTAAATATCATGAATGCATAAATCATTAGGATAGTGAGTTTGTCGAGAATGGTAAATTTGTGAATTTAGCAGAACAAACATTACAAAAAAAGAAGCATTAAACAGGTTTCATCCAAGTATAAGATTCGTATGATATTTGTTTGCAGTCGATTTGCTGAAATCGATCTGTTAAGGATGATGAAATTTTTCGCCAGTGAGATGTAAGATAAGATTAGTGCAAACGAGGGAATGATCAAAGTTCAGATAAGTACTTCAGAGGGAGAGGTAGTCTTGTGAATGATCACACCAGCGGTAGCTGATCACTATGTGATCTATTTTAGTTTAGACCTCAGATACAGAGATGTAGCAACAGGTAAAACATCGGCGATGACTGTGTCGATATTTATTGCTAGACAGGAATAGGTCGTAGTCGGTGCAACGTTACAGGAGTCGGTCACGATCGTCTGACCTGCAATCAAGGAGTCTACATTGGCCATCCAAACAACTCTTATATGTGCCCAACCTGCTCATTCATTACAGTATCTGTCGAACGCACTTGTCGAGATTAATCAACTTCTAAAAAACTCATCATTGATTGCATCTGAGATGCAATCTGTCGGGGTGTAAGCGGAGGTTTTTTTCACGCTTTGATTTAGCTTTCTAGGCTAACAATATATAATCGATCGTTAACGGGGATTCAATCGATTAGCACTCAACGTTCAACCAGTTGGTTAGCTGAGATCTTTTAGATAGGATAGAACTTTCTTCATATATGAGCTACTGTTGAAGAGATAAAATGCACAAAATGGAAATAAAAGGAAAACAGACAAGTGACGCATTGTCAGTTCCACGAATACATCTTTCCTTGAATTTTATTACAATTATCAACTACAAAAATTTATTTTTTCTGCTGAAGACGTACTGCATATTCGCGATTGTTCCCTACTACCACTAATAATGTTACGATCTGATTACCCTAAAATTTGTCCTGATTTCATCTCCGTGTGATATGGTACGGCAACTTGAACCAATACACAAATGCCAGCTTATATATCGCTTATGACTAGCCGACTGATCCGACAAATGTTCATCGGTCGAGTAGACTGCGAATATAAAATATTCAGGATTGAATATAAGATAACATCAACACATTGACATTGTGATCAGTTCGAAAACATGTCATGTGAGGTTTCCACTTTTTGGACTTAATTATAAGAACCATTAATTGGATTATGAAAATCTTGGTATTCTCCTACTGATCATTCTGGGAAGGAGGGAGGTTTGGAATTCAATCGGCAAACCATCACGCAGTTAGGTAAACCTTAACAGATCAGTCATAACAACGAGGGAAATCTGTGTAGCTACTTATCATAACATACTGATAATGATAATAATGATAATAATGATGGTGATTAATTATTTCAGTCACATACAATACAAAAATCAAGAAATATCGAATCAAAACATAAGAATATTTAATGTAGTGTACATATTTTAAATTATAGGATAATCAATTACTTTGACAATTTTGCACTTATGTTTTGGTCCCGATCGATAAAATACGGTAACATTACGTACAACAGACGTTAATTGTTCAACACTTATTCGTTCTACGTCTTCACCACTAAGGCATAGATCACCAGGGCGATAAAGAGATAAACGAGACCCTGAAGTTATAAAATCAATATCGAAAAAGACAGAAGTATGAACAAACAATTATGCACAGAAATATTAAACTGCAGTAATAGAAGGAATTAGTATATGATACTAGACGATATTTACATTGTTACAAGGTTGAGATTCTTCGGGACAAGAATCAGTCACTAATATGAACTTAGTCACGAGAATGCGGAGAATATCCTATCCTATACAGACTGATACTCAGCAAACAGTGCATTCAGTATCAATAGGATATGACATAGCAAAGTTGTAAGATCAGGGGTTGAATTTCAAATAATTCAACCGTTGAGTTAAATTTTCATGTAGAAATAAAGATAATATTAACGGATAGCTACTTGATTATGATACAAGATAGGAATAGGTGGAGACCTAGTATTGTGAGGTATAGTTCTACTTTTTATTATTAGAACAGGGCTGGGTCTTGGAATTATTTGGTATGATTATGCCAATGAAAACCTTCTACAGAGGTCTAACGAAGATGAGATCGGATCCAACTTCATTCTTATTACACCTTACTTAATTAGTGTTATTCCAGCTGCAGGTAATCGCTTATAATCGTAGCAGCGATCATTAATACTGACTCTGTTAGTTTAATAGATCAAACTAAGTGAAAGTAGACAAACGTCGATTTCATTTTGTATTCCAACTTGTATGCTTTTCCCTTAACCACGTAACATATTTTGCTGGCGCTTAATTCATCTTTGCCTACGCCCTAAGTGGAGCAACTTGACAAAAGTCAGTTGAGCCTTCTGTATCCATGCCACGATTTCGTCAGATACCAGGCTAGCAGGACTGATGATGAGACTGCCAAAATAAGTGAAGCGGTTGACACGCTCAACTACTTCACTGCATATCACTAGTTCAGGTGCCGATGAAAACCAGTATCGATGCAACATTTGTGTACAAAAAATATAAGAACATATCGCATTCGAAGCTATGATTGAATCTGTTAGACCCCCTTCGAAAACTGGTGACCCTAATATAATTTTATCACTACTGTTTATCCTTATCTATTTTTATTTATCCTGATTATTAATTTTTATATCAGGAAGTCAACTTAACCAGTTACTATTTATATCGTGAGTGACTTTTCCGTTTGATCATTAATGTGAAATCATAATTGTGAAATTTAATAAGATTTATTTATACTGATTTATGTGATACTTATTTATTAATGCCGAGGTGGTTGGGACATGTGTTACGTATGCCTAACCACCGACTGCCTCGACGAGCTATGTTTTGTGGTGTAGGAGTAGGTTGGAAGAAAGCTAGGGGCGGCCAGACCAAAACATGGCAGAAATCCATGAAGTCACTGACAAGTGGACTGAGTCATGTTGGTAGATGTAGACTACCTGGTTGGGGTCCGCGAGACGAAAGTCATCAATGGTTAGAGACCTTGAACGACATGGCTCAAAATCGTTTGCAATGGCGCAGGTGCATCCACTCTTTGAGCTCTCTCAAATCCTAATCTTCTGGATTCGTCAGCACTTCTAGCTTTGTCTATCTAACCTTATCTCACTGAATTATATTTTTTTTGAATAATATCTTAAACCCTAGTCTTCTTTATTATAACATTAATACCTCTACCATCTTTATCACTATGGGATTTGATTTGACATTTGCGTCTCTGTGCTAATAATGTGGTATGGCAACATGAACTTATGTACATACGTACGAAGTTCTACGTTGCAACTGACTGACTGACTGATTAATGCCGATATATATTATCAAATTTAAGTTACACTTATCATGAATTACATATTTTAAAAATTAGATTATTTAAAATAAACACTGGAGAATATTAAAGTGATGATTAACACTACAGAGAAGTAGGTTTAAATTTGAATATATTTGTGAAGTATCAAAAAATTACATCATTGATTGCGTCTAGACATGTATAAAACTCAAAATCAATCTTGTGTCATAGTAACTTTCACGTGACAAGGGACAAAATACACTGTATCGTTATTGAATCAATTAATCTGACGACCATATTGAAAATTTGCTGGAGAGAATTCAGTTAGTACTGACAAATTAAATTACATTAGGAATGTATTCATTTAAAGTCTTATGTGTTGAGAATTTCTTACAAACACAACAGAAATTAACTATAAATACAAATCGAGGTTAACAACGATCAAAAATTACAACTCAAAAGTGATCAACACAGAATACTTCAGAGTATATTATCACATTTCGTATAAACATAAACGGCAAAACAACAGATCAGTTATCATTACCACTTACTTACCAATTGTACATGCAGTTTCTTTGGCGTCACCAGTTATCATAATCACACGTACACCAGATTCAGATAATATTCGAATGCAGGCATCTACACCAGGACGCGGAGGATCAATTAAACCAACTAGCCCATGGAAAATCATTTGCTCAGAGTCAATACCTTTAGCCAATGCTAATACACGTAAGCCTAAATTACCAAGTATAGATGCTTCATTGAGTATTGCTTTTCTAGTCTCTGAATCCATTGGCTTTATAGAATTATTATTAGAACAACGATTCGATAGAGCAGATGAATGACTATCAGCTGGTGATGACTGCATTGAAATTGTAGAATTGTTTGAAAGCGATGTAAAAGCACAACGATCAAGCAATTGGTCTATAGCTCCTTTAGCAAAGTAAACTGGTTTATCAGAAATCTATGAAAATAGAAATACGAAAAAAAAAGACTGAATAAATACTAAAATATGGATCGAAATCAGCTACGATTGACAACAGGATTACAGTACAAATAAGTATTTACGGTTGGATGAAAAAATTCAGAATCAGTTTAAATTATAAAGTAGAGAGAAAAGATAGTGTGAAGCAATTGTATTATCACTTCAAAAGTAGGAAAAGTTACGAAATTATGTACAATGTTACACTTTCAAGCAGGTGGATAGATAGGCACATTCTATGTGCTAAGATCAAGCTTTATGTACTAAGGAACGAGATGCCACTGGTTGAATAGCCTATAATAAGTTATTTTTGTATTTTTTTAAAAAAATTGCAGACCTTATTATTCAACAAAACAAGTAGTTCTAACATTGTAGCGATTGGTTATCACTTTCCGTTAAGTGATAATCAAGGTAAATATTCCTTCAATATTCACCTTTTCTTCAAAATATGAACACCGATAATTCACAGAGTACTAGCTCTAAGGCTTCGAACGTTGTCACAGACACCGTTAATGAGTTCTTGACTAAGTTGTATCTGGTAACGTTTCGATCGCTAGAAGCGTTAAAGATCGCCACCAGAGGTTATGAAATGGCAGCCTATTGACATTTTTCAGTCAGTGATTCGCATTTTCATAAGAATCAGAAGCCGTATATAAAATTTGCATGTTGAAGCAATGGACGTAGAAGAGCACAAAGGTCGACAAAGCTTATTCGATGAAGATAAGCTGATCAGTGTTATTATATTCTTATGCTCATGCCAACCGACTGTGTGATATATGTCAACATGCTCAGCCATTAAGTGGGAATACGGAAGAAACGACTTGGATTGTCTGTCGCTGCAATACAATGTTTCATCTGTTCTGTTGTTGGAAACATCAACCACAATACCTTCGATTCCATTGTTCAATGTGCGGCAGATTTACGGAAGTGACTTTTCAATGGTAGTTCAAAGTTGATTGACTAAGTGATAATCTAACTTTTTGTTTATGAACAAGGTGATTATGAAGAACAAACAGTAAAGGGACGAAGGGTAACCGTGGAAAACGAATGCGTACAGAGAAGTGACCAAGAGACTGACAAAGGCGCTTTTTAAGGCCGAACACAAATTGATTTTATTGTTTTTTTTTTAATTTTTAACCCGTTTAGTTTCAGATTTGAAAGGACAAGGGGTTGGGTGACCTGTGTTAACTCTAGCAATGTTGATCTCTCAGTTGATCAAACTTTCTCTTGAATGCGCCGACAGATGGAGCTGCAATCACGTGTTGGCGTAACGAGTTCCATTCGTTGACGATCCGATGGGAAAGTCGGTAGTCAGCTGACAAGTAATTTGTCCTGGGCTTGTGGACGTTTTTAGTGTGTTCGTGAATTCTCTGTTTTGGAAGGCAAGAAAAATGAGGGCATTTCAGATGTAAGTTTATCATTAGGTAATTTAAAAACTGTGATTAATTCACGTTTAGTCCTTTTATATGATAAAGGAAATAAGTTTAATTTAACTAATCTCCCTATTTACGACAGTTCTGAGATCTCGGGAATCAATTTAGTTGCGGTTCTTTGAACCTTTTCCAACAGCTCCTGGTTGTTTGTATGCAATACGCAAGTTTAGGACAAACAAATACTGAATACAGAGTCATGAATGTCTTAGCATAAACATGGTTGTAGACCATAGGGTTCTAAACCTTCGGCGGTTTTCAAATATGGTTAATGATGACTTTGAAGTCATTGTGTATCTGGATCACAGGTAACTTAGTGCTAATCACCGTGCCTGTACTCTGGTGACTAATATGCCTCGTGATGCATTTGGAGGTGTTAATCGGTAGTTGCCAAATTCCGGACTATTCGTCAACATATAACGAAACTGAAGAAGGTAGGAGATTTGGAAGGTTATTTACATACAGGAGGAACAATACTGGCCCAAAAACTGTACCCTGACGCATCCTATTTTAAGGAATGTGAGGTGCAGTAACTTCTGAAAACCTCAGAAGCCGTTTCTGTGGACGATTCTGGTTCTTATGTTCAACCTACTGAATGTTTGATTACTTTTGCGTTTCCATTCCCAAGATTTGATCCGGTTTAAGCTGAAGTACTGTTGTTGATAAGGCATTTTTTTTATTGCAGCCACTAAGAGGAAGGGGCATCGAAGGAACCTGCTTTTTTGGATTTCGATTCCTCACAGACCTATTTGGGGGTCGATTCTTTCTCCTTTGGCTCATGAAAGTCAATTGACCCTGAACTTGATTGGGATGTCTGTAGATCGATTTGTGTGTCCATAGAGCATGAATCATTTGAACTGTTTTGATTTTGCTTGCTGATATGACTTTTGGAAGAGTTCACCATTGCAATAACGTCAGGTAGAAAGCTCTCTTTGAATCCGAGCAGCATCGATAACACAACCACACATATTCCTTTTCGCTAAACCGTTTGAAGGTTGGACATCTTATATTTGTACAAAGTTCGTGGTACCACTCTCTGCACTCATTACAATCAGTACCATTTACAACAGGATATCGACAGACCAAGTGTTGGCAAATATTTTTTTACACCGTTCAGTCATCGAGAAGAGGTTTTTAAATAGTTTAGATATATGAAGACAAAAACTGATAGCCAGAACAAGGCTAACCTTGGAATTCTAAGTTAAAATGTGCACAACACAGAAAGAAAACCAATAGATTATAAACTACATATGCGAAATTACATTTGCAAAGAAACAATACCCTCGATGTTGCTTTTAACTGAAATCAATTCAATAGGAGTAAAAACAGCAGTTTTAATGCAGAAGAGTGATTAGAACTACAAATTTGACTAAGTGAGGAAAAATATCATTGTTTTATGTAAAATAGCGTGCTAATAAATTACTTTCACTTTTAATTCGATGTGTTTTCTATGAATTATTTGTTCTGATTAATGTTTTTTGGTTAGTTGGTTTTCTACGGGATGGAGTCGCTAGCCCAATGCCCAACCATCCTGCTTCATTCGGCCTTGGGATCGAGAGTAATCCCTGAAAAGCTACAACTGTAGAAAAACAAACCGGATTCCAGCAAAACGAAGAAACGTTGGCGGTAGATAGGACATACATTGCGGAAATCACTCAACTGTGTCACAAGAGAAGCCCTCACTCAGAATCCTCAAGGCCAAAAGAAAAGAGGAAAACCAAAGAACACATTACGCTGAGAATTAGAAGCAAATAAAGAGAAAAGAATGAACAGCAACTGAACAGAACTGGAAAGGAAGGCACAGGACAGGGTAAGTTAGAGAATACTGGTAGGTGGCGTATGCTCTATTAGGGGTAAGAGGCGTGAGAAAGGAATACGTATTTTTTATTTGAATGCTAGTGCAACCGTAGTGAATAAACTTGAAGAGTGCTGCACCCATGAATTAATTTCACTTTGTAAATACTTCGCGACACGGATCTTTTATGAAATAACAATTGTGACGTATTTGTTGAGTCTAGACTATTGCGAAAGTCATTAAATTGTATCATGATTAAGATGAATTAAGCTATAATGAAAACCGTTAACACAGGACTAATAATAATCTTAAACTGAGTAAACTGTTGACCTTGAAATGTTGATTAAGCTTAGGAGATCATTAATGTTTTACTAGTTTGTGAACAGTTGAAAATTATTTAGCGAGATTAGCCCAATATTAATATAAGCAGTATGAATAACGTAAACTGAACTAATATTCAAATAAATTCTGATTCTGCCCTAATGAATGATATACCTGTAAATAACTAACATACGCTACATAATAATGTGAAAATAAATAAAAAAGAAACTAATGTGATCATATTCATATGTATTGCAGAAGCGAGTGGACTCAGTAGGTTAGTTGATAATCCGATGGCGTTTGAGGCTTAAGGTACTAGGTACGAGTCCCTCAGATGTAGGTACATCTAGCCGAAGTCTCAAATGGGACGAAATGCGCATCCTGGATGGATTACACTGCTAAATATTATCCACCTTTGCTAATAATGTGATTATAGCTCATAATATTACTAACAGATTTTTTGTGGATTATTAACTATCGATATCACATAATGAACACCAATCTCTGTAATAATAAATGTAAACGTAAATCACATATTATTTTTAGGCTTTATAAGCTGGCTAATCCAGTTATTGCAAAAAACAGAAAATAGGAATACAGGACAACCAAATTCTAATTCAAAAAAAGTTGATCTCATTATGATTTATACGTCTAATGGGAAGTAAATTTAGTTTCAAAATTGAAATTTTTGAAGCTCCACTTTTATTTATGGTTTCATTTAATTTTTGTCATTATTTAGTAACATCTATCTGTCAGTCAATAGGAGTTATGTATTATCAGGTTAGGCATCACACATCTCTGAAAATTTCCGTTCAGGAGGAGAAAATAATTACTTTATATTGAGTCACTGCAAAGTATCAAGCTCAAATACGATAAGACATTGAGATGTGATCATTCGCACATTTTAGCTACACATTCAATGGTAATTCGCATTTATCGTAAAACATTTTTAACCAAGGTTTTTTCCTGTATTGTATTATAAAGCTACAATCCATGATATTTATAAAGTAATTTAATATTGTCTCACCGTATCAGTCAAACAGCATTTATGTAATATAACAGAATATAAATGGTGAATGCGTGACTAATTCTTCGATCACTTTCAACATCCTTTCAGTTAAGCACTTATGTACATATAATGGAATAGGTCAGTTGTAACGTAGAACTTCGTACGTATGTACATAAGTTCAGGTTGCCATACCACATTAACACAGAGACGCAAATGTCAAATCAAATCCCATAGTGATAAAGATAGTAGAGGTATTAATGGTAATAAAGAAGACTAGGGTTCGAAGATATTATTCAAGAAATATAATTCAGTGAGATAAGGTTAGAAAGACAAAGGTAGAGGTGCTGACGAATCCAGAAGATTAGGATTTGAGAGAGCTTAAAGAATGGATGCACCTGCGCCATTGCAAACGATTTTGAGCCATGTCGTTCAAGGTCTCTAACCATTGGTGACTTTCGTCTCGCGGATCCTATAATGGAATAAATACTATATCAACTAGTATGCAACGTGTAGTATCGTGTTGTCTCAGGTGCAATAATCGATTGATATGCTAACCATCTACGTATACAATGTTTCGTCATAAATTAAAAGTATCTTTCGTAAAACTCTGAAGTTTCTTACTTGCCAACAATCTGTTTACAAATCCCTCTCAATATTCGCAATCCTTTTAACCATTCATGATTCAATGCGCCACCTTATTCTCTAATAAATCAATCAACTTATGCAGGACCTATTTATTTAATTGTAGAATATTTGTTGAGAATATTTTACGATGACTAATTCTAGAATTTAATTGTAAATAATATGATAATCAGTTAATAATTTAGACTTGTTTCTTTTGGCATAACACTGTATAGTCTTGCGATAGCATGCAATTTCCTCCTCACCTAAGATAATCGACGACATCAATCTACATAACTGCGAAAAATTAAGTCTAGTCATTACGTGATAATCACAGAGGAAATCGATTCTACTTTCGGTTTCAAAGTGCACTAATAACCAGGACTTTCTTATGGCGTTCGAACAGGACTGATGTAGGTTTTTCTAAGTTGAACTTTAATAATATACAACGATGGAACTGTCTGAAACAAACTTTTTTATGAAAATAAAATTCAAATATAAAAATGCAATTTTCACATCCAATCAAAACTGTTTATGTTAAGTTGGATTGCTCTGTTTACAGCCAATTAACAAATTATTAAAGACAACAACATGTTTGTTGCTGAACACGAGCACATATGTACAGATGGAAAGGAACATTGAGATTTCTAATTACACTCTAAAATTTTCAGCCTACTGGATGTATATATATATATATATATATATATATATATATATAACTCATGTTTTTATCGTCGATTAGTTTCCAGCTGTAGTTAAGTGAAATTATATAAGAAGTGAGACACCATTACCTCATAGTTGCGTAATATTGTAAAATGAAGGATGTCGATGAAAAATTGTAAAACGACATACGTTGTTGTTGGAAGTCAATCATGCTTCCAGTCAAGTACTCATAGTCTGGAGTCAGAATCACAAAAATTCATCTAATTATTCATCTAATTATTCAGTTTGTTAATTACAGATTACTTGTTATTTTTTGGTCAGTCTACTTGCACAGTTGCTTGGATAAGCACATAGAATGAAAATACATTTTGGGACTGGATTGTAAAGTATTCAACAGTTCAGATTTTTAACGTCAGTTAACTTAGATTATTGAGCGGTCTTCAATTCTGAAGCGTTCCACGCTAGAATAAGTTTTATTTAATGCTTCCTGGTTTAGGAATGATTATATCTCCTAGGAATATATATATATATATATATATATATATATATATATATATATATATATATACAGGGATTTGTATTTCTGACTGTTAGCTCTCACATCACTACCGTAACGTTATCTAACCATGATCTAAAAAAATAAAAATCCACTTTCTAATAGAGACATTACTTTTAATTAATCCCAATAGAAAGAAGAAAAAAAACATTTCACTGAATGAATTTATCTTCATCATCTTACCGATGATTGATTGTTTCGAACACATTTAACAATCATAAGTTTTGACTCGGAACTAAATGGCCATTCTTGTAAACGAGTATAAAATGCACGTTCATCTAGTGCATGAAACTATTTCCAATGAAAGTAATCAATAAATGGCATGCGAAAAAAGAGAAACACATATTAATAAGAACTTTGAAAAATATATATATCATGAATGAATAATATCAAAACAGATATAAATTAGAATGTTTTTGAGTTATATAACTGTTCAGGTGTTCACACTTTAAACGTATGACAATAATCAAACTTATACTAGGAACGATTTCTAGCATAAAAGGTTTAATTTTCCAATACATATATATTTCAAGAGCATTTTTTCTATGTCCGGATATAAATAACAATTCATTGAACATATAAACGATAGTAAAACCAATATTAATTTGTTCACTATAAGGTGACAGAGATTAACGACTACTTGTGAATGAATGTTATTGAATGAATTAATCTCGACATACTTTCACTCGAGATTTGCATACTTGACTTTGTCAATTTATATACCTTGTAGAGTAGGTAAGATATCCGTCAACCAATTAAATAGCGAGCATAACAAGCATTAGTTTATTGCGTTTTATTTTGTATTTGTGAAATATGTTTCATGAAATCAGTTAGTTAGTCACCTACAACGTAGAACTTTGTACATGAGTACATAAGTTCAGGTTGCCATACCATATCAGCATAGAGATGCGTCTGTCAGTCCAAATCCCATAGTGCTAGAGATAGCAGAAGTATTTAGAAGTAACGGAGAAGATTATGGTTCGAAGATACGACTCGAGAAATACAATTCAGTGAGATAAATTTTGGAAGAGAAAGATAGAAATGATGAGGAATTAGAATTTGAAAGAACACAATCAATGAATGCACCTGAGTCATTGCAAACGATTTTGAACCATGTCGTTCAAGGTCTCTAACCATCGGTTACTATCGTCTCGCGGACCTCAACCAGGTAGCCTATATCTACCAACATGGCTCAGTCCACTTGTCAGTGATTTCGTGGATTTCTCCCATGTTTTAGGTTTGGCTGCCCCTACCTTTCTTCCAACCTACTCCTACACTGCAAAACATAGCTTGTTGAGGAGGTCGGTGGTTGGGTATCCTTAATACATATCCCAACCACCTCAACTGATGAAGTTTCAATACTTCATCTATTGATCTGCCATCCCTACCTAATACTCGTTTCCTAACGATAGCATTGCTTAATCGGCTGTCCCAGGATATCTGAGCAATGCTTGGAAGACATCTATAATCGAATATCAATAACCTACGGATGTCCTCTAATCTTACCTACCACTTTTCGCATCCATACAGTAGGACGGAGCGAACTGTTGCGCAGTATGTTCCATGGAAGTAGAAGACTATAGGTTTTTGATTATAAACATTTTCGAAGTATTGATTAGGTATCACGGAACTTTAGAGTGAGTTAAGTTAGGGCAAGACATAGACTACTAGGCAAATATGGCCAATCAGTTTATAAAGTTGTGGATTTTATTCTACTGAGGTGATCGGAACATAAACTACTTCTGCCACCAACTACTTTAATATCCAAGGTCAGCCAGTTTAGTTCAGAAAGAAGACTAAGGGTCACACTAAGATATGATATTAATTTAAGAATTCACTTTTTATCTTCCCGTACATCTTTTCACTCTGCCTTTTTGAACCATATTTTCAATATCTAATCCTTTTCACTATCATTGACTCTAAATTATTTCGATTCCATGACTATTTATCTAGTTAATTTGATCTCGTTGTATTTATTTAGCTAACGCACATTTGTACCAGATTCTACATTGAATAAGACTGATTGAAATCTAATATTATTGAATGAACTCTTCTTCTTTATCCTTTTGTGTACAAAGGATATGATGCAAAATCAACTACGATAGAACTTCAAAAAAAACCTTTTCATTCTTACTCATTAAAATAAATTGTTTTGAGCATTGGTACAAAATGGTTCTTATCATCATCATACTGAATTATTTCAATGGGAGAACTATGCAAAATTGTTAACTAAAGTTCTTGATAAAAAAAAATTATTGCATTTCAATTCGTAAAGTTGGACAATGAACTGTGAGATATGAATTTCGATCCCCCATGTGATGATATCACAAGTGCTCAATTACTGACGAGTTACAAGGCACGACAAAGAATTGTCAACTGTTAATTTTGGTCAGTTTACTTTGTGTACTTTAGTAAACAACATTTTAAAGATCAAACAAAAGTTGCTAAGAAAGAGCATTTATCTACACTGACTACAGAAGAAAATCTAGAATGTTCGCGCCAAAGTAAACAAAAAAATTCACATACCTGAGCAGCCAGTCTTAGAAGTGCACCTTCTGTAGGTTGACCGAATAACTGATCATCTCGAATTACAGCATTATTACAAATACAACCAATCTATCAGAAAAAGAAAGTCAAGAACAACCACTGTGTATCAAGATTATTTAAAATCTATGCGTCAAAATATTAGGCCTTGTAGAAAATGAACAAATAATAACGTACAGAGGAAATCAGTCAGAAGGTTTCGTGCAGTTTGACCATATTATAAACTAACGTACTTGGTAACACATCTGATAAACTCAAAAATCTAATCGGTTACATTTAAAGTAGTAGTTAGTAGCGAAATCTACGAATCAAACATTGTTCTAATTGGAACTTGTTACCTAGATATGTGGTGCGAGCTACTTATAAGTAGTATATGACGTGAGTGTCAACGTAATGTCTGGCAGCAGAAGATGGGGGGAAGATCAAGAAAGGAAGAGTTAGAAAACAATGGAATTTGTATGAAACGCATGAATAGTGACAATAGATTGATGTTTTGCAACAGGAACAGTCCAGTTCGATATGATGAACTGATATTTTGCAAATTAACGATTTACGATATGGTTTTCCGATTTTACTGAGTAACTCTGTAATTTTCGTTAAATACAATCCGGTTGCCCCACCTGTGTTCTCGTTCACTACAGATATACCTCTATCTGCGTTGACGTACTAACTCCGGTTCGAAAACAGTAACTATGGCTCCTAACTCTAAGATAGCTGAGTTGAGATAACCACTAACGTGTCTATTAACAGTGGTAATTAGCAATAGTTGTGAAGATTTGTATTTTTCCGTTGTAAATATCTAGCTGGCAAGTCTACAAAATAAGAAAAAGTATAACACGAGTTCTCACGTTGGCCAAAAATATGATCAACTTTTAGATTTAGGCAGTATCGTCTCGAATCCTCTCTCCAAGGAGCCTAAACGGAAACATAGGCTGATCCCAAGATTACTTTCATCAATTTAGGCTTATGTTAATAATGATAGATAGATGTATCATATTCAGATTTCAGAATATTCATTTTTCCTGCTTAGACATTGAACATTTGTGCATTCATTTTATAGGTATCAAACCAATCTATTCACCATGATTTCGGCAGATAGTCTTGTTAGTGTTCACATTATAATACTGGTCTTGTAGATGAATAAATACATGTTTTCGAATTGTTAAACAGTATGATTGCAATAAGGTCAAGACAAAAACGTTAGTTGACAGTATAACTAACTAACTGTCATTTCAAATTTGCCAATCACTACTAATATAGTGCAATATTTATGAATTGGTCTGCAAAATCTTCTAAAAAAATACTAAGTATGCAATAAACACACATTCAAAGTATTGTATTGATTATTTTTGTACTTCTAACGCTTTTTTTAAAAACAATTGAATAGAGACATAAATTCATGTTTATCCAAGATGTGTATCTCCAGGCTACTACAATCAACCACAACACGATGCATTGGTTTAAACGGAATCAGGTTGGAGAAAAGATGGCTTTATAAGAAAAGCATGATATCAGCTAGTAGTTAATGGTTGACAGATGGTTTGATTTGTGTGTGCAAGTTTCCTGTTTAAAAACAGTGGGTTACATATGAATTCTATGTCGTCAGAATCATGAACATTATGCTCTGAGTGAATGAATGTATTTTGTAAATAACACTACATAGTAAGTTGAGTACAAAAATGTAGAAAACAGCATAACAACAACAACAACACCAAGAGCAACAACAACCAGTAACTACTACTAAAATATGGATCAGTCAATAAGTGAGTAGCAACAGACAAAGGTGATTGAAGTAAAATTATAAAATAGTAAATAGTCCAGTTAATTACAATTAAACCATTTACGTATAAATGAACGAATAGAAGAATGCATAGACTTTGGTTTTTTTATTTTCCTAGAAAAAAAACTACTTACAGTTAATTAAATTGTTTTAATACTATACTACAACTCACTGAACTAAATAGTAATGGGAAAAGAGATAACAAATTAGTAGCTTACCTGTATTATACTATCCAAAGAAGGAGGATAATAATATGGTGTGTGCAATTCAGAAAATGAAGCTGATCTACCATTAGTCGGCATCTGATGATCAACATCAATATGATTCGGTACTAATTTGTTTGATGATGAGACATCATTGATTTTAATATTTGTAGTACTACTACTACTACTAGTTGTAGACATATTTTTAGTAGCAGTGATAGCAGTAGATACAGTTGAATGACTAGTATTCAAATCTATGTTCATAGAACCAGCATAACTGGGCTTATTGGCTTGTTGAATTGGAATTGTGTACCGTTCTAATGAACCAGTAACTATATGTGATACAGTCATTTCATTCTTTGTCATTGTCCCAGTTTTATCGGAACACACTACATTTACACAACCTGAATAAAGAAAGAACAAATGTAGAAATCGATTTTTTGAAAATGTTTTAAAGTTAATAAGGTTGGAGCTTAATCATATTTCAGACATGAACTCAAAACCCGGTGGAAGAATTGATTCCCTTAAGAATACAACCACGCTCTACTGACAAATGTGCCAACCAGAACGAAACTAAGGTGTGGAGTTTATGCTACCTGACAAAGTTGGGAAACGATTCATAGGAAGTGGAATCAATCAAGCTGCTGGTCGATCATATTAGAACATAATTTGTAAGATTTAGCTGGATAGGATATTTTCTTGATGAACTAATTAGCCTGCACTAGACTCGGTTGTTATCTCATGGTAAGGTATATGAAGAATTGTAATTGTGCCGATGTAATGAATTTACACTCGTTTGTTGTTGAAATTGATGAATTCAGATAATAAATTCCATGAAATGCCTTTTGAGACATTTTACGGTGCTTGATTATTCAGTCGAATGCATTAGTACACCAACTTTTCCTAGGCAAGCTTTTAATCATGACCTAAAGATAAATAACACTGAACTTTAACATTGAAAAAATACTATAAAAACTAGTTTGTAGTTCGTTAGTTCGCGTTAGCAAATGGCTGAGATATGGTTAGTGAAGGTAGGAAGTATAAGGAAGCTGAGTTCACGTTATCAAAATACTACAAACTTAATGAAGGTAAAATTTTCTAAACAGGGATGATTTATTCTGAAATAGTGACTGCAGTGGTTAAAATATATGCCAAAAGGAACAAACTACGACGCATTTACACAAGAAAACAACCGAAATTTGTACACTAATTCTGAGAGCATTTGCCATAATGACGCTTTATGTTATTCTGAAAATTCGAAATATATTCACCATTTGCATTACTATTATAGCTTATTTCATGATAATAATAATAATAATAATAATAATAATAATCTAATAGCATAACATGTTTAACTTTTGCATTGCCCAACTATGTAACGCAACGTTAGAAAAAATTTAATCATATCAACTTCAAGATAATCTATTGTAAAAAGAAGAATTGTATCGCATAAAATCATAATAATTGTTAAAATCTAAATAGTAACGAAGTTACGAAAATATAATGCTTACCAAGAGTTTCAACAGCTGGGAGTCGTCTGACAATTGCATTCCTTGCTGCCATACGCATTTGACCAATAGCTAAAGTGACAGTTACTACAATTGGAAGGCCTTCAGGGATTGCAGCGACTGCCAAACTATGAGGGATTTGTGTGTGTGTGCGAGAAAGAAGCAAAAGGGAAGAAAGAAACACTGAAGAATGCATAGTTATTATGGTTAGCTTAAAGTCATGTCATTATTATATTTTAAAGATGAACTAGCTTTACACAAGTTTTGATCAATGCATATTTGATGTTGAAACAACACAAACAACTGAGCACACAGATCTCATAAGCAGAAAAAAAACTGTGGATATTATTTGTCATTATTTAGAAGTCTGGATATAATTCTACAGGCATAAAAACTTACAAATTGATAATTCACTCATTAGACTAAGCAATAGCCCTTCTGTCCCATACCAAACAACAAATGCAAGAGACAATCATTGTAGGACCAGCCTCAGTAGCAGCAGGTCTCGACATACACAAAGGGAAAAGCAAGATTCTCTGATACAACACAACATGCATTGACCAAAACATACTTGATGGAGATGCCTTGGAGGATACAAAAACCTTCACACAACTGGGCAGAATCAATGACGAGCAAGGTGGATCTGATGCAGATGTGAAGGTGCGGGTTGGCAAAGCAAGGGCTGCATCTCTACAAGTGAAGAACATCTGGAACTCAAAACAACTATCAGTCAACACCAAAGTCAGAAATTTCAATGCAAATGTCAAGGCGGTTTTACTGTATGAGGCGGAAACTTGGAGGACTACGAAAGCCATCATCCACATGATACCGGTGTTTACTAACAGTTATCTATGCCTGACGCTTCGGATCCGCCGGCCAGACACTTTTAGTAACAACCTACTGTGGGAGAGAACAAACCAGATTCCAGCGGAGGAAGATATGAGGATAAGCGCTGGCAATGAATAGGATACAGACTGAAGAAAGCACTCAACTGCGACACAGAACAAGCCGTCACTTGGAACCCTCAAGGTCAAAAGAAAGGAGGGAGACCAAAAATCACATTACGCCGAGAAACGGAGACAGACATGAGAAGAATTAACTGGAAGGAAAGGCCCAAGAAAGAGAGGGTTGGAGAATGCTGATAGGCGGCCTACGTTCCATCGAGGGTAACAAGCGTAAGTAAGCAGTAGTCAACTAATCATAAATAGTGCAGGATCTAGCGCATCCACTGAAGATGCAACACTTTATTTATCGGTAAAATAAGATGAAGTGAACAGCTCTGTTATCAGATACTTCGATTTTTAGATCATAAAGTTATAACATTATATATATATATATATATATATATATATATATATATATATATGTAATAAAAAATAAAATATATCAAGAACTGTTAACGAAATCAATGTATCGGCTTACCTTACGCCAATATTTAACAGTTCTAAAATGTGGCGTCCTTGAAACAGGCCAATAATCACTATACTACCAATAATAACCAAAGAGATAGCAGATAAATGCTTTCCTAATTTATCCATACTCTTCTGAAGTGGCGTACGTGGTGCCTAAACAAAATATGGGATTAAATCGATGACAAAATGTGCATACCAAGTGATAAGAGGAGGTAAACTACAGTAAGCTGGTTCATAAAAATTTGTTGCCGCCACTTCGATAACTGGTCCTTCAATCGGTCTACTTTAGTAGGTCAAATGTATGTACATGCAAATTTAGTGATACACTACCTATCAATATTAAACTGTTGAAAGGTGTTCCATTTACAAAATTAATTCTACTAACACGCATACATATTTTCAACCGATAGGTCAAGTTGTACATTACTTGGCTGTCTTCTGTAAACACATCTTTCATTTAACGGTATTGTATATCAATCTCCAGTCATTTAGCATGGTTATTCGACTGACCTGTAAGCAAGTGATGAAACTATCTTAGTGGATATCCTGAAGATGATACAACATGAATGATGATGTCTTTTGCCGAAAATTTCTGTAGTTAATTGGATGATCTTAGTTATTGATGGTGGAATATTACTTAAGTGTAGCTCAATGTCGTTTTTAAAAAAAGTCGACAGCAATAACAACAATAATATCCGGTTGTTAAAGACCTAGTTTAACCATTTACAATAAAACAAGTTGAATGATGCTGAAACAGGCAAGGTAATTTCGACATTTCAAATAAGAATATTCTTTTAAATAATCAGCTGTTATGACAAAACAAATATTTTCACTGGAACAAGTTATTTTACATAACAATTTTAAAACAATATTTATTGATAAAAGATAAGTAGATTTCATAGATCACAATCCAGTGGGACTGGGTAAGAAGTTTACCATTATAACCAGACAAATGCAAGTAAACGTATTAGTAGTATCATAAATAGCAGTTGTATAACGTAGCTTTTGGTAATACTAGTTTTCTGTTTCAGTTAGGCCGTAAAAGATAACTTTGATTAGATGACTAGTTTACATACAAATCACAAATAGTTTTGGTTGTGTTCTCTGAGCTAAGTGGTTCCACTGGGAAGCTTGTACTGCAGTTCTGGACATCATTAGTGCTTCCCTTCTGTACAAATAGTGTTAAACTTTACTCCAGAAGCCTATTATAATGGTCCTATCAGTAAGCGGTCATCTTTAGAGGTGTAATCTTTGTAATTCTGATGACCTCTGGAAAATCTAGAGCACATAAAGCGAAATAATTAAGCTGCAAAACGTTTTCCATCATTCAACGCAAAAGTAATGTATGAAATTGAAGGCGAAAATATTAAAACCCATTAAACCAAAAGATTACTTGATAGAATTTCAGTGATTAATTTTCTCAAGGATTTAGGTCAACTAGAGAACCAACGAAAAAATCATGTAACGCCTGGTAATTTTGCATACCAGTTAGGTAATGTTTAAGTATCTACCTTGGACATCGTACACAAGATCGAAAATACGATCTTCAGGTTTTGAAGCAAGCAGTAAATATTTATATTTCTGAATTAGAATTCTGATGGTCACCATCAACAAGTCAGTTTGAGGTTGGAAATGGAGTTTGACTCAAATTAGACAAAAGTGGAACTTTTGGTGAACATCGATTTGAATCACAAAACCAAGCGTGTAACATCGAATCGGGCACTATAAAAATTATATAAAATACCAAATTTTTTCGTATATCGTCGTCGGTTGGAGTGTGAGTAGAACTTTTATTTACATTCGTTTTCTTAACAGCTGCGGCGTTGAGAGATAATACAATTTTCTCCGAAATGTATCTTTTATTTCGTTTATTATTACATTAATATTTTAATTTGAGCAGCTAGATGTGGGTCATGAAAGTTTGTGATATGGATTTAAGGCAAGGGAAAATTAATGAATTCAGGATAAGTTCCAATACTTACCTCTTCTAAATGCATCATACGGAAAACTTCACCGAATTCCGAATGTTCTCCAGTTCCGATAACTAAACCTTTTGCAGTACCCGAACAAACCAATGTTCCCATAAATCCAATATTAATTAAATCATGACATCCACGTAGACGTTCAACAGCTTCATTATCACCTATATTCACGAAAACATTAATATATTTTAAAAATATTTTTTCAAAGTTCGTAAAATCTAACTTAGTTACAAGGAGTTCATAAAGATGAAAGGTTGAATACATGTATCTAGTTCAATTTCAAACAGTTTTACATTGTTTTTCCATTTAGGATGGTAACCCCGACTAAGATCAATCTGTGGCGAACACAACGTACAAATCAAATCAATTTCCATAAAAACGCCTTTAACTGGACTAATTACTGAACAGTTCAATAATTTTCTAGTTAAATATGTTCATGAAGCTCTAGTGATAGATCATGACTGGTTGAGTCAGTAGTGAAACAGTTGTTACCAATAGGATCAAATACTCGTCTTAACATATTATAATTAGTTGAAGTGGAAACGGCACTCCTGAACGCCGACTCAATGGTCCTAAAGGTTAAGAGTCCTCCCAAAGATTTTGAATAATTAACTTATTTCATAGGATCTAATAAATTTTCTGGTTTATGTTGAATTTATCTGAGGCTAAGTGAGGACAACAGAAAGATATACTTTGTTCATTATTTATAATGATCATTGTCAGGGGTATTCACTCAACATTAGTGAAGCTATATATCCTCAAACCATTTTATTAGATCCACTAAAATATTGTTCTTGATTTTCGAAACTTAACTCCTAGCTTCAATTATGAAAAATGGTAAATGGAGCTTAAAGTCTAGTAGAATCGCCAGCCTATAACAGTACAACAAAAAAGCGTATTCAATGGTTAAAAATAGAAAATTATTGAATTTTTTTACATTGCATATACCGTTACTGACCAGTTTGTGTTAATGGAAACATAACTTCAGATGCATTAGAAATTGGGAAGTGTGTACAAAGGACCTCTGAGGATTTAGGAACAGCTTCAGTTTCTCCAGTCAAACTAGACTCGTCCACGCGTAAATCATTCAGATCAAAAAGCCTCAAATCTGCTGGAAGACGATCGCCCACCGATAAACAGACGATATCACCAGGAACGAGATATGAAGCTAGAAATGTATGTATTTCTCCATTACGTAAACTAGATGATATATATAAATATAAAATATTAGGATAGAAAACAAGTGTAAACTATAAGGTAATTTGAGTAGATAGCGTATATTACAGGTTAAAATAATAAACATTTCTTTATTTGGGCCTGATAAATATTTCTTTACTATTAAATAACTTACTAATATAAATAATTAAAGTAACTAAATTATAATGTGAATCAATTACCCAACAATAGGTAGAAATTTTAAAGTCACAACAACGATAATAGTCAACATTTTAGATTATAAATTATGCTACAATTTTTTGTGACGATTTATTCAGTAGTCAGACTGTAACGAATACCTTCTTCAAAAGGTTAGGCGCTCTGAGGTAGTAAATGGTGACTAGTGACTAAGCGAAACTGGAAGGGCCTTATGGTGTTGCGATTCATAGGACAGACTATGACGACAGTCTGCTGCAACTATGCTCAGACAACCACCTATTTCTTGTAAGTATTAACTTTAAACATAAGAAAAAACATTTTTTGACACGGCAACCTCCAAATTCGTCCCAACGCTGGGCTCAGCTAGATCATATAGCTATCAGCCACCGAAGGAGGGGCTCGAGAAAAGACTGTGGCTGGTACCGGGACACATGCGTAAATTCAGATTACGCTCTAGTGTGAGCGCGTATTTTTTGGTGGCTTATTGGATGGAGGAAAGACACTGTAAGGAAACCGCTTAGGGTTGTACTTAATGATAGCAAGGCTAAGAATATATTTCAGGAACAACAAGAAAAACGGTTAGGCGACCGTGTAATTGATTCCCATCCCGGGGCAGCTTGGGACGATATTGAAAAAGCTGTGGAAGCAGCAGTGATAACTGCTAGTAAGGTAAACCATAAGGTTAGGAAGAAACAGTTGATTTCAGTAGCATATACCGAACTGATAAGTACTCGGAAACTCGTCTCATCTGACTCTGAACGTGATGAGGAGCGAAATTGTCTTAGGCGCAGGCTGATAAAAAGCCTACGCAATGATAGCGAACAGAGGTGGGTAGCGAAAACAAGAGAGATGGAAAAGGTAGCGGCGATAGGCAACATTAGATACGCTTCGGTTACCCACGATCTCTAGTAGACCTAAAAAGCAAATTTATGTTAGACCGTCTCCTCGCCGAAACTCAAAATGTTGCATCAGGATTGGGTTGCATGGGCATCTGAACTAGTGATAAGGAGTGAAAACCTAGGAGCGGTCAGAACAAGACATGGCACAGATTCATGAAGTCACTGACAACTAGATTGAGATATGTTGGTAAGTGTAGAGTACCTGGTTGGCGTCCGCGAGGTGATAGTAATCGATGGTAAGAGACCTTGAAAGACAGCTCAAAATCGTTCACAATGGAGAAGGTGCATCCATTCATTGTATTCTCCCAAGTTCTAATCTAAACTCCTCATGACCTTCGTTTTTCTTCTTGAATAATATCATCGGACCGTGATATTTCCTATGACTACTTATACTTTTTCTACCTCTATCACTGGGGGATTTGAATCGACGATTGCATCTCTCTACTACCGTGGTATGGCAACTTGAACTGATGTACGTACGCACGTATGAAGTTCTAAATTGTAGCTAACTGACTGATATATATATGTATACATATATCTGTCGACTTATATTTGGAAGAATAGACAAGTGATTAATTTTATTAAACTTTGAATGATTAGGATTGTTAGGTAGTTATGTGAGTCTTGTAACTCTATTGATTGGAATATATAACATAGTGACTGTTATTTAAGAAAGTTGCAATAATAAAAATATAATTTAACAACCAAGTAAAAGTTAGTAATCTTGTATGGGTTAGTGATAAATCAAATAAGTGATGTGAAACTTCGAGGACTATACTCTGGATAATCAGAATATAATTTTTTAATTTATATTTATTAATCACATCGTTTATTGCATTTCTATATCTTAAATATATGTTCCGATTAAACTCACTAACCGTCGTTGTTATATATTTTACTGTTCATGAATTATGGTAACTTTACCATAAATCCGGATTGAAGTTAATTACTTACAGTCTACCATAATCTTCTATTCTATGTAGGGGTTGGTTGGAGGAAAGCTAGGAGTGACTGGCCCAGAGCATGGCACAAGTCCATGAAGTCACTGGACTGAGCCAAGTTAGTAGGTATATACTACCTGGTCAGGGTCCGTGAGACAGTAGTAACTGATCGTAGAGACTTTGAGTGACATGATTCAAAACTATTTGCAGTGGCGCGGATGCAACCATTCTTTGTATTCTTTCAAATTCTAATCTTCTGAATTCATCACCTTTATCTTTATCTTTTCAAATTTATTTCACTAGATTATACTTCTCGAATGGCATCTTTATTACAGCTATAACTTCTACTACCACTACTACTATAGGATTTGAATCGACAATCCAAACTGCGAGCTAACATGGTATGGCAACTTGAACTGATGTACGTAATACGAAGTTCAACCTTGTGGCTGATTGAAAGACTGAGTCCGCTCCATTTTACTTTATGGGTGTGAAACATGGCTGTTAGAAATAGATATTCTTAGGTTACTAGTGTTCAATCATATGTGTCTTCGAAGTATTGCACGTCTGTTTTGGGACGACTGAGTAAATGTTTGGGTTAGGCAATGAGTACTAGGTAACAGTCTTCATCAAATGAGGTGGTTATGCGTGCTCAAACATTTTCTACCTCGACAGGCGATGTCTGGTGCGGGAGAAGGCTAGAAGTAAGCTAGGGGTGACCAAACTAAAACATAGCACCAGTCCGTGAAGCCACTGACAACTGGACTGAAACATGTTAAGAGGTATAAACTACCTGGTTGGGGTTCGCGAGATTTTCGTATGTAGTGCTTGGAAACACTGAACGACATGACTCCTAATAGCTTGTTATGGCTCAGATGCATCCATTCTTTCACTCTTTCCAAATTTTCAGCTTCCCCGTGATTTCTATTTGTTCATTCTATCATTTTTATTATTATCTACTACCGTCATTTTTATTTTATTTATTTCTTTAATATAGTTTTTGAATCGTAACTTCGATACTGTAACAATCTCTACTACTCAGTGATTTAATGATGACAATTTAATTTCGCTGTGTACATAAGATATGACAACTTGAACTAATGTACACATATGCCGGGTTCTACGTTGCGTTCAGTCAGTCAGTCAGTTGCAACGTAGAACTTCGTACGTATGTACATAAGTTCATGTTGCCATACCACATCAGCACAGAGACGCAAATGTCAAATCAAATCCCATAGTGATAAAGATAGTAGAGGTATTAATGGTAATAAAGAAGACTAGGGTTCGAAGATATTATTCAAGAAATATAATTCAGTGAGATAAGGTTAGAAAGACAAAGGTAGAAGTGCTGACGAATCCAGAAGATTAGGATTTGAGAGACTTCAACGAATGGATGCACTTGCGCCATTGTAAGCGATTCTGATCCATGTCATTCAAGGTCTCTAACCATTGGTGACTTTCGTCTCGCGGACCCCAACCAGGTAGTCTATATCTACCAACATGACTCAGTTCACTTGTCAGTGACTTCATGGATTTCTGCCATGTTTTGGTCTGGCCGCTCCTAGCTTTCTTCCAACCTACTCCTACACTGCAAAACATAGCTCGTCCAGGCAGTCGGTGGTTAGCCATACGTAACACATGTCCCAACCACCTCGACAAATGAAGTTTCATTACTTCATCTATTGATCTACCATCCTTACCTACTACTCGTTTCCTAACGATAGCATTGCTTACTCGGTTGTCCCACGATATACGAGCAATGCTTCTTGAACATCTATGATCGAATACTAGTAACCTACGAACATCTACTCTTAACGGCCATGTTTCACAGCCAAATAGGAGAACTGATCGAACTGCTGAGCAGTACACCCGTCCTTTGGTTAGCGAACGGATATCACGCCTACGCCATAAGTGACGCAGGTTGGCAAAAGCCAATCGAGCTTTCTGTATCCGTGCTGAGATTTCGTCAGTCACCAGGCTATCAGCACTGATGAGACTCCCCAGGATAAGTGAAGCGATCAACATGCTCAACTACTTCACTCCCTGTCACTAGTTCAGGTGCCGATGCAACCCAGTCTTGAAGCAACATTTTGCATTTCGACGGGGAAAACCTCATCCCGAACATGCTCGCATTGTTGCTTATGGTAGTCAGAAGACTGCATTTTCTCAGCGTCAGCATATTCTAGGTCAGTAAGCGATTTTCCTGGTAGAAGGTCAACCCCTGAAAAATCTGACGATCTGATCTGAGGTTAATGTACTTCTTTGCTACACCTTTCAATGACAGACACTGCCACAGAACCTCACAATCCACTGAGTCAAATGCCGCTTTTAGGTCCAGGAACACAACTATTGTCGGACGCCTAAATGTGTCTGTGTTGCAGGACCTGTCGTAGTATGAATATGTGGTCTATACAGCCACGTCCAGGTCTGAAAGAAGCCTGGTTTTCTCGAGTCTGCTCTTCACGAGCTTTCGTTAAGCGTCGAAGTATTATTGAGGCTAACAATTTAGAAACTATGTTAGTTAGACTTATTCCCCTGTGGCTGCCACAAGAGGACTTTTGTCCTTTCCTGTAGATTGGGACAATTAGCGACTGAAACCAGTCAGATGGGATTACGTCCAGTTCCCAGATTCTACCTAAGATTTCGGTCAGTCTAACTGTTAAAACTGGACCACCATCCTTAAACATCTCAGGGATGATTACGTTAGGCTTGGTGGAAGATAGTGTCAGCCTTAACTATTAGAGTAGCCAACTGTTAAGTTTCAGGAATAGTAAGTTTTTTTTCCGGAAATATACAGAACTAGCAATGAAAAAAAAATGGAAAAGATTTTGATAACGCTGACAAGTGGCCGAATTACAAGTATCTTTAACAGGTATCCACTTTAAAATATTTAAAAAAGTTCTCTACTTTGATTATCATCACTGTAATGTCTAACTGCAATGACAACTCATCCTAAATAGTATTATTAATATACTAATGAAAATTATAAGCAGTATGTAACGAAATATTACCAGCTACATTTTGGGGGCATCAATTTTTGCAAAGCTTCTAGAACTTTTTCTGACCTGTAGCCTTGAATGAATGCGACAGTAACCACTATTAAGACTGCCTAAAAGGGATCAATGAGAGTTGAGTAGGGAGAAAAATAAAGCTTACAACAGTGATGCTAATAGTATCATCATATTGCTTCATAATAAGACTAATACAAGCAGATGAAAGTAGTAACAGTATCATAGGTTCTTTGAATTGTTCAAGGTACTTCTTATATAAAGGATCTGGGTCTGGATGTTTCAACTCATTTGGACCACACAGTTTGAGTCGGTGTTGAGCTTCAATATGGCTGAGACCAGTTTTCAAGTCCACCTAAAGCATTAGTGAAATAAGAAAAATATCTAGTTTACTTTGAAGTAGTTAGCAAGTTCTTCAATAGGTTTGACTGCTGCGTCTCTAGCGTTCATATGTGTTTGATCGCAAGGAATCATTGTTGGTCACAGGTAGTGAGTGAGATAGGGATTATCATGTATACAAATGTGGACACTTTTTATACACGATTGTCAGCGTGAATAACCTTAAACTTTAATGTTACAGAGGTCATACTATATATCAGCACATAGCAGATAATCTTGTACCTAAAATGAAAGAGAAAAACAGCAAGGATTGAAACCAATTGTTTTGTAAAAGCGGAAGTTGATTTATTGAATGAATTAACAAAAGAATCGACCAAATACCGATGAGTCAAAAACTAAAAAAATAACGGATAGGCGAGAAGTACCTTAGTTTCTGGCTCGGGAGCTAGAATATTAAGGCTCGAAGAGGAAACTATTTGTGTATCGAATCCCCATATCAATACTTATTTTAAAGTAACCTGTGAGCAAACCAGATATTTGCCTAAGTAAAATTATTTATTTCTAACTAAACTACGAGAAACAGATTGGCATATTTGCTTCTAAGCTTTACTACTCGTATTACGCTGAATGTAGGGTGATCAATATTGTGTGTACATCTTTTACGTATCGTATTTCGTGAAATGGCACGCAAAATAGCTTCATTTCCAAAGAACAATGGGGATCTTTATCTTAACAAAATGAATTACTGATGGCAATTAATTTGTCAGTCAACATATATAACTCAGTGGCAAAACATCCAAGTTTGTAGGTCCTAAAATAATAGTGAGTGACAAGCCTTAGAATATTAAGTTTATTAAAACGGACTATAGAAGACTGGTAAGAACGGACGCTAAGTAAAACAAAAATCAAGTAGGGAGAAAAAACATTTATAGATGGTAGTCTGGCATGTTACCAAGCAGGGGACAATACAGAAGACAAAACCTCATATCGATAAATATGCGTATGCAGATGTCGAAAGCCTGTTGTTTCAATACCATACAGAATTACCCGCAATCATTTGCATGAGGAGTTCGACCTTGAAGTGGCGGACAATCTTTTTTACGTGGCTATCCAAAATCCAATAAAATAACGATGGCAAAGAAACTAATTTTGTGATTTTGAAACTCTAATTAAACTACCTATATATCAATGTTTTATCATACTTCTATTCCCTTGGCGAAGAGTATGTACATTTAGTAGTGGGCCACTTGGATTTTCAATATTATTTCATCCACCTACCTATCCAGACGATAAAAACTAAACGACTATGTGACAGGTTTTGCTTCACAGGAGGTTTTCATTTATCTTGTATTTATAGCCTAAACATTGCTGTGAGTGAGCTGTCTTAAGTATATTATTATTATCACTCTACCTGAGCAGTTTCTTCTAGTAAATGTGATACTATCTACGACAGTTGGTTCTGGTCTAAAATATAACATCCCCCATATAACATACTGTTATTTGAGAATAATATATCATTGGGAATGAACACTGCCTAGATAGCCACTAGGACACGCATGGTTTCCAACTCACGTTATTGTATACTGGAACATACTAATCTATCGGTTTTCTAATTTCCATGTTTTGGGAAAGACATTGTACTCACACAGGAGTTACAAGGTGAAGCGATAGAGGTAAAATTAAGTTTCCTCATTTTAGAGTGTGGTGTTGAGCTAACCGTATTTCTGTTTATCAGTCTAAAATCTGTGCAACACATACACGTCATGAAGCTTGTACACATATAATTTATTTTCTTACATCAGCTGTTCAGGTGTAGGTGCTTGTCCAATAAACAATAATAGGTTGTGTGTTTGGCAGATTATGAGCTTCATTTAGAATCATAGTCTGTATTTACACTGGTCTCGGATTCATTGAAAGTTCAAAGAAATATAACTTATACCTAAATTTTGTTTTCCATGAAGTAAACTGGTAACTAGGAAACACAGAACGTTGTGTTCACAACTGGAAACATATAATAGTTATTGCTACCAGTACAAACGCAACGTTGTAATTAAGATTTGCTTGGTATACTCATAACGATAAAGCATGTACTTTGTTAAGGGAATCGCAGTACATTTTCACGTTGATATAGTGTAATTATGAAGTCTCAGTCCACAAGTCCCATTCATTTTGAGTCTTCTTATGATTAGTTATGAATGCTCAACAGTTTACCGACCTCACGGAGGTTAACAAAATGTAGTGATTACCTATTAGATGCACACCATGTAGTTATGTATACGTTTGTAGCCTCGATTTTTGCTTCTTCAATCCGTTCTTGACAATATATACAGTCGAAAATTTTTATCCTACCTAAGCACATAGGAATGTGAATAAATTGTTTATAGTATGGGCCAAGAGTTAATACAACGTCAGATCTAGTAGATCGTAGTCATCCACACAGATCACCCACGTTGATCTTCATAACCATCATCAGTGTCTTCAGTGATTGTATCATGTAATGTGAAATATTTTCAGATAAACGATATACACTCCGAAATCAACAATGTTCAGGCAATTTTATCATTTAGGTTAACAGACAGTGAAATGGTATTCATCATATATTTAAATTTTGCTGATAATAACAGTCCTATTGATCTTTATCTTTTAAGAAAAAATTTGGATCCAACTTGCTTTCAAAAATATACTTTTACGGTCGTGTATAGATAGCTATACATATGTGCAGATCTGACTGTAGAATCCTTTTTGAATGCTTTGTGTTTTGGAAAATCCCTCCATGTTTACATATTTTTGTTATGACATGACGGACCTTTTCTGTTGACATTTTTGGTATTTTATTTGATTCCAATTTGAGATTTTATCATTGTATATTGTTATTCTTTCTATATTTTGTACTTATATTGAAGTTTTTATGTTTGCTTCTGAACTGTACATATGTTGTTTAAATTTGATATAATATGGCTACCGCCACATTTTTGGATTCAACATCGTGCAGTATAGGAGTTCACCTAGACCTCGGAACATTGATACTCGTTCGGAGTAATTCTGAATTGGAAGACGTAATATACGTTAGGTATTATTTGCATTTCCATTTGTCATTTGTAAATAGACCATTTTCCCCTAGAATTATTGTGTTTTAATTTCAAAATCGGGAAGTGCGTCCAACCTACGTCTATTGGAATCGAATTGAACTGTCACGATAGAGAATTCAACTACACTGACATTAAAGACGGCGTTTTTCAAATGTCATAACATCAAATTAAATTCTCTTATGGTATCATCTGGTCTAGTAGGTATTTTTACTGCAAGAATGCGGAGGTTGATACTGTCAGTAGAACTGTCTTGATATTTGTATTAAAGATTTTTACTTCCGCATTGTATGAAAGTTGTCTTAAGCTCCAGATTCTTTTCAAGTTTTGAGAATGGTGTCCTTCCTCTGCCTATGTATGCTCTCATATTTTGACCAAACCTCTCTACTTATCACTGAGACTGCTGAACTGAGTGATGGTTTCCATCTCTTCTAGAGGTATGCCACCAAGTATCGTTCGGTTGGAGCGTTTTGTTTTGTATCCCAAGAATGTGCTGCTTCTTATGCAGATGTCGAGACTTGCCACTGCTGCAACATATGACCTCCATTTGTTGCTGTGTATGAAGAAGATAAGTTACGATCTCTGAAGAACCTTTTTCCACAAGCTACACCCAAGCTATCTACTGTTTTCTCAGAAGAAAGAGAAAGGACATGAGTTTACATCCTTGTCTAAAACAGGTCTTTATTTGGAATGAGTCTGTGAAGCAGTCGTCATGAAAGACTTTACAGAGATGTCCCAAGTGAGGATTAAATATGATTGTGTGGGTCTTCTCCGATACCACTTATTGTTGAAGGCTTCAGAATGTGCTCATGTCTACAATGTCTATGTTTTCTCATGTTTAAGTAATCTGACGTATTGTCGTGAGTTCCATTTGTTTGATTATTTAGTAATGCTCCGGGGTGTCGTGATTTGGTCTGTGTACAATCGATCCTTAAGAACAATGATAAAACTAACGGGAATGGAGCGCCTGTCTAACTACCATGTGATTACAGGAATTTATAACTTTCATAGACTTTAAGTCACAGGCGATAAATCTGGAAAATAAGACACTTATGAAACATTCGCGGTAACAATTTGTTATAACTTATTTTTGCTGAGCGAATTGCTCTTGTCTATCCGTGTGACATCATCAATAAGTTCAACAGACTAATAAAGTCAGTGTAAGACTCTAAGGAGAGTTTTCCAATATTCCAAAAACATTCACCAAATCCTAAGGATATTTTGTATGGACCACGGAATGTCTAAACTTGTCTTAAAAAAACGATCAATGAATCATGAATATATTCCTTTTTCACAAATCACAATCAGTCATGTCTTAATGCCCTTGCTCCAAACATTCGAATTCTATGTTTCCGTATTGTTTAACATAATATCACTTTTTTCCGTGAAGTTTTACATTGCGTATAATTTCACCTAGGCATGTGGTTCACTTAAACTGTGTGTTCTGTTAAAATAATCATAGACTAAAAGAAACTCATACCGTCTTGAAATATTGTAAATTCCCGCTATTTGATGCTCTACCAGCATAAAACTTTTAAGATCCCTAATATGCCGATTTTCTAATTCTTTACTTTCTTACTTACTTATAGCCTTGTTCACGGATTTTAAAACCCTGAAATACTTATGTTCCCCATTATTTGGTCAGCTATCCGTCGTAACGATCTTCAAAGTATCTGCCATCTAACTAGAATCTCATCATTTTTTCCATTAATTGACTTCATAATAAGGTGACATACCAGAAGGATATACCACGGAACGTAATACTCATGGACCTAAACCACTCTAAAGAAGATTGCTTGGGTTCATTCTCATTATTTGCTTGAATCTTTTGCGTTAACTCACTTGCTCCTCATGTAATGTTGCTCTCATTACCGGTTGAAATATTTACGACCGTTTTAATAAAGTGTCTACTGTCAGAGTTAAAAAATGCAGGTTGTAATCATGACAGAAACTCTTCCTTATTAATTGTAAGCTATAACTGAAATAGAAGATGAACTACATACGTTTGGGAAACTTCATAATGAAGCCCTCATTATCAGTTTTAACCCT